CCTGAGTCCCCCCAGGGAAAAGGGGGGCATACAAATAAAGTGAACTGAACTGAACTGAACTAAGAAATAGTCACTACCATCCTACATCTACCTTATGGACAAGGAACACAAGAGACTTTGTAGGAAGAGAAAGAATGCTGGCATCTGAATACACATTGTGCATATCCTGTTTGAATTATTTGTGGGAATGTCCCTACCTACATTTTACTTCTTTTACTAAGTGCCACTTCAGTTACTGCCAGTGTTCTCATTCCTAATGGCTCACTGTAGCATAACTCTTGATTACAGCTCTTATTTAATCACCAAGTGTGTGTTTCGATGTCACACTAATTTTGCATCTACATTTACTTCACCTGTCACCATGGTTCTATTAAAAAAAAACTGTTGAATTTAATCCATATGTTCCACAAATCCAATCATTAGTAAATATAAGGTAAATCATCCCAGATTTGATTTGAATTAGATATTTGAGAGTCAGCAAAAACATCCACTTGGGTTTAAAATTCAAGATTCAGTCTCATTTCAATTTTAATCCCCTTGATATTTGATTTGAAAAAAATAGTTTCCCTATCTATTGTAATGGAAAAGTATCAACATGCCCATAGGAGCTTAATGTTTTTGGAATAGGAAGAGTAGAATTCCTGTGAAAGTAATTCAGCTGAAGACCTTCAAAACTTTCACTACAATATTTTTTTGAAATATTTGTCTCCTGCAGATGTAGCAAGCCCAACCCATCTTAAATCTAAAATTTACAAGACAACCATCTGCCCTGTTGCACTGTATGGCAATGAATGCTAAATAGCAACAAAAGGGACCAAAAGCTTTTTCCATGCTATGGAAACGCCAATGCTCTGTTGGATATTGGGCATCTCCCTTCTTGACCACATCACAAACGACACCATTTGACAACATTTTGGTGTGGCACCAATTATAGAGAAGATGAGAGAAGGCCGACTCCGCTGGTATGGACATGACCAGAGAGCAGCACCTTCCACCGTGACCAAGACTGCCCATCAACTAGAAGTCAATGGCCGGCGACCTCACAGGTATTCAAAACGGAGATGGCAAGATATGCAAAGATATGCAAGCCACGGGCCTGTGCCCTGGAGACACAGCTGACTGTGCAAAGTTAGCATTCAATGCAGTGGTGGGATTCAGCCAGTTCGCACCTATTCGGGAGAACCGGTTGGTAACTTTCTAAGTAGTTCAGAGAACCGCTTGTTGGAAGAAATCTCTTTTTGTTCTTTTCCACTTTACAGGGCTAATCCTGTAAGGAAGGCAGGAAGGAAACATTCTGGTGTTGTTTCTAGCCTAATCTTATTGACCTGCTTACAGGAACTGCCTCTCCAGTTAACCCTTATTACATTGTAACAGCTAAGGCGAAGCGCCCATCGACCTGAGTCACCTTGAGTTGGCCAAGCCCACCCAGTCATATGACCACCGAGCCCAACCTACCCAGATGGCCATTAGGGCAGAGAACCGGTTGTTAAATTATTTGAATCCCACCACTGATTCAATGATCCAAAAAGCGGACCCTGCACCTGCGGGAATATGCTAGGAAGATGTAGCAGATTGAGGATAGTACTGGAAAACACAGCACTATTCAAATGATTGTGCAAAGAATTTCAATTGTGCTGAAGCAAGGTGGAAACTGTCCTGTTCCAAATTCATTTAAAAAAAAATCTTCAAAGGGGAATATCTTGCTTTTCCACTTGCTTTTCTGGGGTGCTTGATCCCTGGGCTTTCTTGAATGCCAGGAGAAGTGGAACATTCTCCGTTGGAAAGCTCGGTCATTCCTGGGAAAGACTCCCTCAACACTAGCAGGTCTCAGCTGCGTTAGGAAACAGCATTTTCTAAAAACAGTTAATTTATAATCTTTAGCTTGGTTCACTTTTACTGACAGGTGTAAACATACCCTAACAATGCAGAATTTAAATGTTAAGGTTCGATACATGAATGCACTTTCATTCTATCAAAGAATACATACTGACTTGCCTCTCCCATATTGCGAGAGCTAAGTTGAATGCTCATTTGTGTTAGCAAGATAAGCACAGATGTGTACTATTCCATTAGTAGAAAACCAAAAATGTTAAAGTTATGGTTAGATATGTTCAAGGAGCTGCAAACTGAGAAGATGAATGATGACTAGTTAAATTTTACCTTGGCGGCACAAAAGAGCCCTAGAAATTCAAAATATGGGAAAAAACATATTGACTATGCTACTGAATCAATCCAAGAATTAGCATTCTTTGTGTATATTTGTTGAAATGGAAAGAGAAATTACAGAACTGAATATTGCTGGAACAATGCCAGAATCAGCAGGAAAAAACATCAGATCTGTGCTGTGTTTCAAAGTAAACACCCTGAAGTATTTTCAGGCATGTGGTATATATTGCTGCGTTGAATCAGGCCTCTCCTTCAATTTCAAAGCAAAACTGCTTTGTAGGGCTGATTTTATTGAAATTCTATCAAATCAAAACAGGCTCTGCATAACTCTAGTAAATATGACTTTTTTTCCAGACAAACCACCGCCCATTTCTATGTGTATTTCATCAGAAATAAACCTTGTTAAAAACAGTGGGATTGGTCTCCAAATAGCTGTGCATAACATTGTATTGTTACCTTTCTAGAGTGAATTTCTTTGGCATGTAATGGATATAAAAATTCAGACTCTCCTTCCAGACGAAGCCCATCGCTATTAACCTGTAGGTATCCCATTCCAGCCTGCAAATGCAAAGCCCATTTTAAATATTAGTTGTCTAAGTCATTGTCAAATTCTTTTCAAAGATGCCACATTAATCTTTTCCCAAATACCGCATGATTTATTCAAGGCAGACATCCCTGATGAAATAGAAATTCAGAAGATAAATATGTTTTGGGTGGAAGAAAGGTGATCATAAAAACATCTTTTCACACAAGGTTTTGATCAGGGGTGGTATTCCCTTACTTTCCCTACTGATTCGCAAATGTGAGAGCGTGCAAGTGCACGCATGCTTCACTTGCATGTGCCCCGTCCATGCATGCACTTGGCCTTCCGCGCATGGACTTTGAGTATGCGCCTGGCTTGCACGCAATGCATGTGGCTTGAAAATGTGCCTAAATAGGATGGTATAGAACCAGGGTGGGTGGGCAGGCCCATCTGCCATTTCCACTACTTGGTTCAGGCGAACCAGTCCAAACCGGCTGAATATCACTTCTGGTTTTGATAAGAGCCATCTTCAAGAATATCCAACTAAGAGGGACTGCACTTATAAAAAGGTGCTGCACACAAGGATGTCTTCTCCAGCCCAGATACCAGCAATGTGTACACAAGCCCTCTTCAAAAAGCTGCAATTCAAAGAAGCAATGTAAGTTGCGTGACAGCAAGGCTAGAGGTTGTCCATTTCCTCCTCTTCTCCTTTTGGAGTAACCATACATTATTGTTATTTGAAATGGCGCCATACATTCATCATTGTTGGCATGCAACTAAATCTACATGGTATCTCTCCCATTAAGGATTTAGATATTTGAGCACTTCATTAGTAGCACTTCATCAGATGAAACATTTCAGTAACGGACTCAGAAATGACAGTCACATAAGAATTGAAGAATACATTTCAAATAATACCAGTCAATGAACACAATTCAAAGCATGTTAACAGTGCATTAAGTAAGGCTTACTCTAAAGTATATTTAAAACTGCAGCCTCTGGCTGAGATTATATATGAGCAATGGTGAACCTTTTTTGGCTCGCGTGCCATAAGTGGGGATAGCGCAGGGGAGGTTGTGCGTGGGCGTGCCGCACCCATAATGCAACACGTGACCGCCCCAGTGCGCATGCGCGCATGAGAGGCGCTTCCCCCCATTTTTTGCATGGTTTTTTCGCGCTTCCCATGCTCCAGAGGCTTTATAGGAGCCTGGGGATGGCGAAAACAACCCCCCCTGCCCCCCGGTGGCCCTCCAGAGGCTTCGGGGAGCTTTCCTGAAGGCTCCAGAGGACTAAAAATGACCCTGCAAGCGTAGGACCGTTTTTAGTCCTCCAGAGCCTTCAGGGAAGCTTCTGGAACCTCTGGAGGGCCTCGGGGGGGGGAGGCTCTTTTCGCCCTCCCCAGGCTCCCATAAAGCCTCTGGAGCCTGGGGAGGGCAAAAAATGGCTTTTAAAAAGGTTGAACTCAGCTGGCCAGATTCACACATCAGGCTAAAATAAAATTTAAAAAACACATAAAGACTTGGTGTGATATACAAACTCAGCTATTGAAATAAGATAAAAGCAGGGGAAAATATCACATTTGCTGAAAATAACTATATTAAAACTAGGTATTGTATTGTGTTTTTGTTGGTTTTTATATAGGAATTCCCCAGGATTTGAAAATTATTTCCAAAATTCCTCTAGGGTAAATACACTGAAGGATCAGAGGTATATTCAACCGGTTCTTTCCAGCTCAGGTGAACCGGTAGCGGTGGCTGCAGGAGGCTCCACCCACCCACCCCAACTTAATGCACGAGCACTCCGCACGCGCAGAAAGCGGTGCGCATGTGCAGACATTTGCGAACCGGTAGGGAAGGTAAGTGAATCCCACCTCTCTGAAGGATGTTTTACAGAGCAGAGAAAACCTTAGATGCAACAGTAAGAATATAAGCAAAAGCAACAGCAAAACCCAATTAAAGTGGGTGGGGGGGGACACTTACTGTTGAAAACCACATTACTTTAAGAATCCAAATTGTCAGAGCAAGATTCACAACTAGGATGATGATCAGGAGGAGGAGAAATAAATAAAGGCAGCGTTTTCTCCAGCCATAAATGCCAACATTGTAGGTATACTGAGGGTCTGGTCTCTGTACGTCAGTACCTGGGGTTGCTGAAATATACTCTTCACGTACCATCTGCTACAGGGGGAAAAAAATGATACAATTAACCAAAAATAAATATTTCATACAGGGCATTCTACTTCCGGTTTGAAAACGGAACAACTATTAATTAAAAGTAGATTTCTAAGAAGTAAGAATTTAGCACGCTGGGTTGTTCTGCTGACCCTCCCCCAGACAAAATAGTGGGGCATTGCTGATTAATAAAACATGAATTATGTAATTTCATTTAATAATCATTATCTCATTCTACGAGCAATTAAATATTTGAAATAAGGTATTTGAGGGCAAAGAAAAAAAATACAAATAATTCAGGCTGGCATGGAATAAAAAGCAACAAAAAACTTAGGCAAAGTTTCATTTGAGTGAGGCTACAGATTGTCCTCACATGATGATCCTAACTGGGATTGACAATCCTGCCAATAAGCAATGTGGGGGAAATGACATGTGACTGCTTTGCTTAACACTGGCCATTCCAGCAATCACAGCTGCTGTAGCTCAGTGATTCCCACAACCTTGTTAAACATGCACAACATTAGGATGCAAGTCATTCTTGAAAAAAGTAAGGGACTTTTTATATTCCCTAATATATATATGATTCCACCACAAAACCGCGCTCGACTAAACCGCGTCCGACTAAACCGCGTAGCTGACGTCATCAACAGGGC